TTTTGATCATTATATTGCCTGGAAATTTTTCTTTAATTTGTATTAAGAATTTCTTACATTTATATAATGTGTTTTTCTCAAATAGATGTCAGTTTCCTCCCTTCAATTCTTCTGTCATGTCCACACAACAATATTTCTTTGCTGTTTATGTGTTAAGTTTTTAAGCCAATCGAGCCCATTTGCTATGGACATAGCTATAGAGTCATCCACTGAAGTATGAGTTGGCTCTCAGGGGCTCTACCTCTGAAGAAAAACTAGTCTTTCTCCCAGCAGCCTTGCCAATAGCTCCTTAGTTAGGATGAAAATTCATGACCATCTCCCTTTTTCATTTGGCATTTTATTTGTTTTGTACTGGCCAAGTGTATGATGTCACAGTGCACAGGCATTCACATATGCAAATGCCTTGAATTTACCTTTTTCAAAGCAAGCACCTGGGTACACAGATTGCACTATTTTAGATAAACAAGGAGAGCACTACCCAAAAAGCACACGAGCAGAGGCAACTCCCTTGACTATGAAGATGGAGAGAGTTTTATGTAGAAGGGACAACACTAAACACCGGATCAGATGTAAGCAAGTCCTCAAAGGCTAGGCAGGAAAGCAGTGGGCATTTGAAGAGGAAGCATTAAGGAAAGACCAATACACAGTGGGAAAGGGATATAGTGAGGCTCAGCATTATCTTAGCATTGAATATTTATTCATACACTGTTTAATTGACAAATAAAATTACACATGTTTGTTGTCTACAACATGATGTTTTGACAGGTCTGCATTATGGAACAGCTAGATCAAGCTAATTAAATTACATTACCTCTCACATATCTTTTTTGTGGTAAGAAAACTGAGAATTTTCTGTCAGCAATTTGTAAGTATAGGATACATGGCTATTAACTACCATCACTGTGTCATGAAGGAAATCTGATTGCTTTGCTTCTGCTAGTATAATCCAGCTCCTTATGTCAGAGAAAGTGGCTGTCATGCTTGAAACACAGCAACTGGGCCAGAGCAGGCACACAGCAGTGTCTCGGAGAAATGGTACTCTAGATGTGGTATTGCAAAAGATGCCTCACATGCTGGGGATCTAAAGAACATATAACCACAAATTTCCAGAGTATAGTTATGATTTGTCTCCTGTGTTAGTAGCTTGACACCAGTAAATTGCTTCAAACTCTTTAATGAAGTGCTATTAATGAAGACACACATGCATAAATATTACAGTTTATTTTATAATTACTGTTGAAGACAATGGCAGTGATATTGAAACAGTTTTGATGAATCCACAAATATGATTTTTTTTTCTCAATGGTTCTGGTCTGTCCTCCTTCTCTATGAGCTGTGTTTCCTCTACTATCTTTATGTTTTTGAAGAATATTAAGAATGCCGTAATTCCCAGAGTGGCAAATCTGTTAGCCTTGTAGTTATTCACAGCTTGGTTTGAAACATCCTAAGTTGGTCTCCAACTAAACTGCTTCTAAAACTTTAACAATGCATTTGTCAACTTTCTTATGCTATAGAGCTTTTTCCTCCAAAATACAACATCCCTTCCTGGAGGTGAGAAAGAAGCTGTAGGGTTCAGGAAAGCTACAGGATCTGGAGAGGCTCAGGAAGCTCAGAAAGTTACAAGATTCATAAGGGCCATTCTCAAAATTATGTAAGGAGCAAACACTTGTTGAGGAAAAAAGATGCTCCCTTAGGAGGAGCTGCAAATGGGACAGGAAGCTGAACAGGGTTTGTGAGTCATCATTCATGCTGGGATGGGCCTTTCAGCAATGTTCCTGTAGGTAGCTCCAATAAATTTTCTGACTTGAAAAGGTAGACTCGGGTGGAATCTTTTCTTTGAACTGTCTTTGGTGCCTTATTGAATAAATGTTGAATAAATGTCAGTTCACATTTTCCCAGGGGAAAAACAATTCTCAATACTTCATGACTACAGGAAGTATTCTGTGTCAAGCAAACAGTAGATCAATTCTATGACAATTTCTTCCTTTCCTGGAGAAACACAAAGCTTTGATTAAAATGACATTTCAGTGTGATCAGTGGGAGATATCTAGCTTCCGTTAAAGGCAGACTGAACACCGAAAGTTTTCCAAATTCTTAACATATCAAAGATAAGAAGTCAACCAATAGTGCTATGTTAATTTTTGGAGTACTGAAAGCATCTCATGTTATGCCCCCACATCTTTCCATAACCATAGAACTAGGGAAAAAAGAAACATGGAATACATCCAGCTGAGCTTTGCCTGACCTTGAGCTATCTCTAAATCTGTGCACTGTAGTTACACATGCTCTTTGCTATGTTTCTTCATGCTTAGGCAGGAGCAGCATGAACTCTTATATATCCTCAGTCTTAAATGCCACATATGTCCTTAAGTTTAAAATATCTGAAAGGGGTTAGAGGAGAAACATTTTCCCAATATCCTTTCTGAAACGAGCTAATGTGGTACGTACCAGCCGCAGAGATTCCATTGGTGCATTGCTCCTAAGGATCCTGCTGAATTCTTCCCTCCTCATTCATTAGTTTGATCCCCATCTTATGAGGTTGGAGTTGCTATTATTTTTATTTTGGAGTTGAAAAAAAAAAAAAAAAAGGAAAGATGGAGAGAACCCATGTAACAATGTGTGTCATGTAGAAGTCTTTGAGACAATTGCTATAAAATACTTGCTTGGATCTTGGCTTGCTTTATTCTACAAGTATAGGTAAATGTAAGTATGAGTAAAGCCATACTTGCAACCCAGGAGCTGAAACTGGGTTCTGGATTTATTGAGATTGATGGTACATAGCTTAAGGTAGAAATTCTAAGGCTAAAGGTTCTTCCCAAAGGCCTAAGCCACTTCGGCCAAGATGAAGGACAATCTTTTCTTTACTTGGCAGAATCTCAGATAGCCAAGGCAGGATTAGGCTGGAGTCCTGGAAAAAGGCTTAAGCTATATGCAGATGGGCACTTACTCTCTAATGAAAGGGAGTAACCATGGTTATTAACTAATTTATTTCACTAATTGGCTAGTCACAAGAAAATGGTATAAACTACCCATGGTTAAAAAGGTAGTGCATTATATGATAAGCATCATGTGAGGAAACAAAAATCAACATGACTGTGGCTTTGATCACCTACCCCTGAGGGGGGAGCAGCCTTACCAGGCCACAGAAGATGACAATATAGCCACTCCTGATGAGATCTGATAGACTAAGATCAGAAGGAAGGAGAGGAGAACCTCCCCTATCAGTGGACTTGGGGAGGGGCATGTGTGAAGAAGGGGGAGGGAAGGTGGGGTTGGGAGGGGAGGAGGGAGGGGTTTATGGGGGGATACAAAGTGAACAAAGTATAATTAATAAAAGTTAAAAAAATCAACATGACATTAAAAGTGTTGTAAATCATGTTGATAAATCACCCACTAAATATGACATTAAAATGAAAACTTGAAGCTTATATCCTGAATATTCTCTTCTATATGCTGCCTTACTTTCTATGTAACTTTATTTTTTTAGTACTAGAGATGGAATCCGTGGCTTTGAGCATGCAAAGCAAAGTGGAAAGATATCCTAGGTTTTTTTTATTTTGTTGTTGTTGTTGTTCTTTGTTTGTTTGTCTTATCAGACATACCCAAATGCTGTTTATATCTGATAGAAATATTTATATATCTAAAGAATGCCATGTGACCAGTGAAGAATAGGAGAGAAAAGTGGTGTCAAGCAACTGACTGTGTCCATCATATACCATGTAGTATCTAATGCTTTTCTGATAGATAGAGAACCATGAATCCAGAAAGGATATAACTTCATGGAACCTATAGTGGAGATGGAGACAGTATAAAATCAAAGAAGTTGAATATAACTATAACCTAAAACTAATTCTATACAGGAAACTGTCCTTGGAGAATGTATAAGTAAAGAGGTTATGAGTGAGAACATGCCAGAAAGAACAACTTAAGTAGCAAAAGAGAAACAGGCCAGGCTGAAGTAAACAAACTTAAATACAAAGAACTTGTAAAAATATTCCATGGATGAATGAGTCTATTGAGATCTGAAAGTCAGTCCACAAAGATGAAGAGTCAGGAAATTGAAACACACAGAGTTAGAAAATAGTAGAAAATTTATCTGCAAAAAGCACTCAAGTACAGCTCAGTAGAATAATGTTGATTCCTAGTGGAGTTTAACCAGAAAGTAGAGATTGTGGCCTACCATAGCACAATTCATTGTCAAGGACTTAGGGTTTTCCCTGATAGAAAAGACAAAGATCACCAGTTGCCCTGTCTAACCTATCCTTTAGATGCCATACATAGGTTAACATATCTGGTTTCTAAGGAGCTCTATTTTATAGGAGTACATATCATAGTCATAGATATGCCTGGATCACAGAAAGATGACTGTAGCTCTACTCTTACTGACTGTATGACTTCACATACCCTTTGACCCTTTGACCCTCACCTTTTCACCCACACAATAACATCACCCCATGAACAGGAGGTGATTGCTAAATTCACTTGATCCTCCAGGAACCAGAAAGCTACGGTGATGGGGATATGGGTAGCATCCAAACTAAATAGCTTAATGATACAAAAACGATACAAAAGAATCATTAATGAACAAAAATCACTTTAAAATAAGGTCTCAGAATCTCTGAATAGTAAATCAAATAAAATTTTTGTTTTGAGGTTTAAAATAAGCAACTTTTACTCAAGATTACATATTACTATGGTAAGTATAATTCATGTTTTCACAGCTATCATTATCCTTAAAAAGAATTTAAATCTGATTAAAAGCCTACTTGTCACAATAGTCTAGAAGATCTCTCAATACAATAGGACTTTCCCAGTGTTAACTAACATAGGCTTAAGCTCTGAGATGGAGGTGCAGCCAAGTCGTCTTCCTGTTTAGCAGAAGGTCATTGGGATTGCTGTCTTTCTCCTTGCCATAGTCATTCATGACATGGCTTTAAGTTTTCGCTCACCCTCTGCGGTCATTGTATTTGTAATAGTGCCTTGTGTGTTGTGTCTCCTAGCTCTACATACAAACCACCACGCTTACAATCTCCATGAACCTAAGTGCGTCAGTGGCGCTGGGAATGCTATACATGCCGAAAGTGTACATCATCATTTTCCACCCTGAACTCAATGTCCAGAAACGGAAGCGAAGCTTCAAGGCCGTAGTCACAGCAGCTACCATGTCATCAAGGCTGTCACACAAACCCAGTGACAGGCCCAACGGTGAGGCAAAGACAGAACTCTGTGAAAATGTAGACCCAAACAGTAAGTAACTCTCCTTATCTTTGCACCCTGCATCAGAAAAACTCTAGAAAATGTGATGTGTGTTGCTGCTCTCTGGAGTAAGCTTGCCTTGTGGATGGTTTGACCTAATGAATGGTAACTGCTGCTCCTCTGGTTTTGATTCATTTCTGCTACAATTTTCCTGGTAGAAAGCTTTTCACAATTCTGCCTAATTATTCTTCTGTCTCTTTCTCCTTTGCTCCAGAAACATCCAGTGGGGATAAACATGTCTATCAGGGCTCTTTTATCAGACCCTTCCCACCAGGGAAGTAACTTCCTCTTAGAAGGACTACTTCCTGATGGGAAACCAACTTCCTGTTAGAGCAATAGCCATACCCAGTGAACATTAGAAGCATTAGAAGTAAAATTAAATTTTTGAAGAGCTTTAGAAGCATACCTTTCTTCCACTGGAATATGGATGTTGACAAAAATCATTGCCAAATCAAGTCTTTTAGAAACAGAAGCATAAAGTATGGAATAATGATGTTAAACTTTCATTAAAGTATACAGGGCCAATGAGCACCTTGCTAAAGGCAGCACACAATTGGGAAAGTATCACCAAACTACTAAGAAGAAAGTCATTTTGTGAAGGACAAAAACTGATAGCTATGGTTCAGGGTTCAGAAGTGTTAGACTCAAAACACTGTGTGCCTTATCCCTAACAGCCAGGAGTCTTCAGTGTGGCTTAAGAAGGACCTAAAATAAAAGACACAGGACATCATATAAATAATATGACATTGGCTCAGATGTTAGCTGCATAAAATTCTTGATTACTATTTTTGCTAACAATGTAGTAGTGAGTACAGATTTCAGATTAAACCTAATTAATTATAAATTCCATAAGGTAGATGAAACAACTCCCAAAATTAATATTTCTATGATCATATGAATATCTATAATTATAACTATAAGCATACTGATCAGTTTCCCTGCAAAGCCCAGTTTTTGTAGCTGTTTATAATAGATTTTTCAATTTTTGGTTTTATGGAAACTTTATTCTCTATTTCAATATCACTTTTTAATCATATATATACATCCATATAAACCTAAGCATACAAATTTAACAAGATTTTGCCCCAAATCAGTAAGCAGAACAGACAATTGGAAGTCTCTCTATTTGTACTTTATAAATGAACAAACATGAACTTACAAATTCAGACAACTAATCCTACAGTGCTTAAGAATTAATCTTTTGACTGTAGATAACTTTTAATGTTCATATCCATCCTTGTTGAGTGTTTGAGTAATTTCTAAAATGCCAAAGCAAACATTAGTAACAATGCATCAGCTACTTCTAAAATATCTATCACACAGAAGCTTTGTGTGGAAGACCTTGCATTCATTTTGCACTGCAACTCTATAGGAAATATGCTCTTAGCCTCGATTAACTGACAAAGCTTCACTGCAGGAAGTTTCTATGACATGACCAAAGTCATGCACCTGCTTAGCATCCAAGGTTGAGTTAAGTTAGATCTTACTCCTGAACCCATGTTTATTCCTTTTGGCTACTGTGTGTCCTGAAGCACGACTAGCAGAACAAATCCCCAACGCATGAGTCATGAATTATTCCTTTGGTCTCTTACTTCATAATATAGCTTAATAATAATAATAATAATAATAACCATAATATAATATGATGGTGATATGATAACAATAATGATGCTGGTTGTGGTGGTGTATTGAGAGGTTCTGCCTTTGCTGAAACATACTGTGCTATGTAATAAATATGTGGATGCTGATTGTATTTCTTCAGACAGTAATAATCTACATTTAGAGAAGGCTGCCAATGTAGAGGCCTTATCATATTATTTCCAAAATTCAAATATTGTAGTGTCAAATAGAATAATTGCAATGATTTCACTGAGAACTCATTGGACAACTGTCCTTAAATTTTTTATGACTGTGTGGTTGTTCTGGTATCTATAAAGAATCATAACAAACTTCCAGGAAGAAAAATAAAAATAAAAATGAAGAGAATAGTACAATTGAATACAATCATTGTCTCCCGACCAGTCTGAAAGATGTCTGAACTTCTAGCTTCTCTGGCATTGTGTATCCATTGCCATAAAACACCAAAAAGGATAGCTAGAAAGGGGAGTAGCCACAGGAGGAGATTCATGTACCTCCAAACATTGGGATTTCTGATGACCCAGCCTTTGGAGAACATTAAGAGAACCCACTTATCCTAAGCCATGTAGCAGCAGTAGCAGCAGGTAGCCACAAGTTCTGGATCTGTGTTGTCTGATACAGCCAGCACAAGCACCAGTGTCTCTCAAGCACCCAAAAGACAGCTTTTCAAAAGAGATGATGCATCTATTTTCTATTTGACTTTGTTTTAAATAAATAACCACCCATGGTTGTGATTACTTCACTGGACATCACAGATCTGGAAAGTTGGGCATATTAAGTCAAGAGTTTATTCCTGTGATGCCCAGTCTGAGCCATAGTGGAGACTTGTTTCTGTCATGTTAGGATTGGTACTTACCTGGAACAAACATGGCTTAAATTAATGAAGTAATTGGAGATAAAAAACACATCATTTGAAACGTTCCCCAACATGCTTCTAATGTAGAAAATGTGGTATCATAGATGACAATTGCATTTGAACTGTGGCTTGAAAGTCACAAATATGCATATATGTGTATGCATATCTATCATGTATATACATATATATTTGTATTAAGACTTGTAGTGAAAATGTAAGTTAATGAAAATAGACAAAAATGTTCTGATGCTAGGAAATGTCATAATATCACATTATGTTAAAAACCAAGGATGGCTCAGATCATCTCGAGAATTTTAATTTTGGCATTGAAGACACAGGAAATGTTTGTTTAATTTAAGCTATTTGCCAAAAACAAATGACAAACAGTACAGGCACTTGAAAATATGCATCTCTCCAATGGGGAAATTCTTTTTTAAGGTGGTGGAAGATATCTGAGAAGACAGGCCAGTTCATAGTATGAACTTCAGAGTAATTAATGGACCAGAAATACTCTCCAATTCATCTTTGCTCTGAACACTTAGTGTGAATGTTTCTCAGTCCATGGTGTCTTCATCTTGAACGGCTCCGCTCCATCACTGCAGCATGCCATCCGGTGCATGACCGCTTCCACCCATCCACCTCCACACTGCACATGTTTACATGAAAATGAGCTTGCTTCTTGGCTTAAAATGTACAGACATTAAAACTGCCCTCTCCACTGCATTACTTATCAAGGATTGAAATTTTCCTCTCAAGTTGCTCCTTCAGTTAAAATTCTGATTCCTTGAAAGAAAAAACATCATTTTGGGGGGGATAAAGGGTCAAACTTTTCAAATTGTTATTATTATGTGTACACTGTGGATATATTCTATATTCAAACTCAGGCCAGTGTTTGCCAGAGTCTATGTTCAGACTAAACAATAGCAAGCCCCGGGGGCATTAGGATGAAGCTCCAAGACTTTTTATTTACATAATGGTAATTCCAGCCACAGGGCTTCAGAAAACCCAAACATCATTTGGATATTTTAGCTATGTCCCAGATGCTGTTCCTCAGAATTTCTTCAAATTCTGGTCCTCTCACCTTCCTCCTGAATCTAGCCTCCCTCTATATACTTCTGAATGTAAACTTGTATATATGTTCATGGAAAACTGTAAGATGACAAATAAATAGGAGGATGTAGTCATGCTTGGGCTGTGGCTTATGATCCTTTTCAAGCTAGATGGATGGTATTATTTGGTGGAGAGCATGACTTAATTGCCATTGGTGAATATCTTCTGGTGTCTTCCTCATCTGGAATAGTCATACTCATCAGATGCTATGTAAATTACCCTCTTGTCTCATGCTTCCCTTGGGCAAGGATTGCATTGCATAATGATGAGAAGGTGTGACCTAACCTGGTTCTACGATAGCATCCATTTTCTATGTTGATGTCTCCCAGGCTGAGAAATAACTCGCTTTAAAACAACTGGGTGGGTGCAGACGATACCCTGGTAGGCCAGTAGAACCTAATGAAGATAGGCGGCTAGACAGTCTAGAAGAGCACACCCTAGTTATTCAATATGAGAGTTCATAGCTGATAAATGACTCTGAAACAGATAATCTGAATAGGTGCTATACAGCAAATGGGATTACGCCCATGAACATAGAATGTAAGGAAGACTATATTAGAATAAGAACAATGTATACCTCAGATATAAAATATAAGATAATTTCATCATAAATATATTCTGATGTTACTCTTCTTTCTATTTTTAAATTACTATTTGGCATTGGCTCTAAGGAAAACAAGAAAAATCCTCTACTGGCCTCGAAGAAAGAAATCACATAAAATAGAAATGTCAATACTAGGATGTATTTGATTAACAAACAACAACAAAAAATAACTCTTGGCTGATGGAAAATGGATGTAGGCAACCAATTAATACCTAGAAAGTTCTGTAACACATTCCTGTGCTGTGCTGATTTGTTAATGTTCCTTGTTTTGTCTCGCTTCTTCATTTGTTTGGATCTGTAACATTCTCAACATGGCGCTACTTGTACTCATCCTTCCAGACCAACCAGGCAAAGCTGGTCAGCAAGAATGAACTAGGCTGAGGTAAAGAGGATGGCAACAGAAAGGAGAGAGCCAGATAGCTCAGTTATTTGTCAGCTGGTTCCCTCAGCTGCCTAAACTCTAGCAAGTGCAACCTAGCTACTTTCCGTTCTCTAGTGGCACCGGCACTCCCATGTTCAGAGGTACCTGAATTGTGGTGAACTGGTCTACCCCAGCCTAGCGTACCCACTGAAATAATGGGCGCGGTGTCCGTGGGTCTCTATTGCAGCCTCTTCTTCAACAACGACAACAAAACTGATAATAATAAAAAGGAATATTGTCTGCGCATTTATTTTATATATTCCTATATATTTACTTTTCCTGTAGACTGTATACCACCAGTAAGAAAGAGTGTACAAAAGTCCGTAACTTGGTACACTCTCCCACCAGCAGTATAGCTTTTGACTGCTTTCTGAAAGGTAAGAAAACAATCTCCTTTTCGTTTATTTGTTTACAATAAGAATAGAAATGTGTTTTTTTTGTGAACTCTGTGCATGACAATATGAAATTCTATCTGTATAAAGAAATAAATTTTGAAATATTATCTGTTTGATGAGCTCAGTGACAGCTCAAATTAGGTGTCTGGTATCTTTGCTGAAGAACATGATTATGGGTGTGACAACTAGCCAATCGCTTTAGAAACAGTTGCTGTTTATTCTGATACAGAGTCTACCTTAAAATAATTGATGGTTAAAAAATATTTTAAATGTGTGTTTTTACATTTTGACAATGTGGACTACTGATAGGAAAAAAGGGGGGACATGCTTCATCAGTCAAATACAAATGTCTACTTCAGTTATTATTACTTTGTTTTGTACATGAAAATAAATTTACACATTTCTGGAAATGTACCAATTCAGAAAATGTAAGTGGCTGGTCCAAATTCTGTAAGACTGACTAATTGTTTTGTTTTGTTTTGTTTTTTCTTTTCCTTGCTCTTTTCTTCTCCTTTCTTTTTCTCTTTTTTCCTATTTTCAACAAATAACTAGAGGGATATTTTATGGTGGGGATTCATGATTTGTCAATCATATTTCTTTGCCTAGAAATCAAACCAACTTTAGTGCTCTCTGAAAGTAAGGAAGGGGTCGAAGTGAGAAAATTTCCAAAATTAGCCAAAAGAATTACCAATTAATATCATGGTATTCAAAATAATGGATTATGTGACCTCATTAACTGGTCATATAGATGAACTCTCTTGAAGGCATCAGTTGCCTGACTTACCATTCATCCACATCTAGGGCATTGTTAGTCAATATATGCTCTAAAAGACTATTCTTAATTTTCTTACTATACTTATCATTTCTGAATGTCAGCCTAAGCAAATGGAATCCCAGAGAAAACAACTCTTGATTTCAAATATCTTTGTCTAGATAAGTTCAAGCCCTTCCAAAAGGTGGAAAAATAAGCAGTGAAGGGCATGGAGAAGAGTGTGAAAAGGCTGGAAATAGGCCTCAACAGATAAGAATGTGTAATGCTCTTGTGGAAGACTAGAGTTCGGTTCCCACCACCCAGAATGGAAGGATCACAACCACCATCAACTTCGCCACAGGAGTCTTCTTCTGGCCTCCATGGCATTAGCACTTGCATGTACACACACACACACACACACACACACACACACACACACACACTCACACAGAGTTAAAATAAAAATAATAAATTAGGTGGAAGATTTGAATAAATATTGTCTTCTGATTATCTCTAAACTTACTCTCTTCTTTGTAAAACATCTCAAAGGCCAATCTTTAGAGATCTACCAAAGCAGGGTCCTATCGTGGAGAGTAACATTATGTTTAGCAATGTGGATTAGTCTTTCTCTTTGTGTGTCTCTGTCATGAGACTTCTGTCAGATCACCACTCCACTCCTACAATATTTTTCTTTTTTGTAATGACATTTTGCATGCAAATAATATCTTGGCCTTAAAAAAATCCACTTAGTACTCAAAGACAGGACATGATTACTTTCAAAGAGTAATTACATTTCTTGTTGATTTTAGATGGCTATAACATCTCAGTCTTTAATTTCAGACGTATTGTTTCCACAGTTATTTCCTTTTCCCGTATCAACATGATCTGTCCTAGATTTTAAATAGGGCATTCTTCCCTACAGTGAATATGTAACTGTGTCCCAGTGAGATTTCAAGTCTCTGCAGTACAAGTGCTTGTCAAAACACTGCAGCTCATCACTTAGCAGTTCTTTTACAGGAGACTTCTTGAAAATAAATGAGAAAAAATTATCCACAGGAAAAGAAAAGATAGATTAAATATCCATCTATTAAAAATTCTCTTTAGCTTCATTTGCAATTGGTGGCTTTTGATTTAAAGGGAGCAATAGGAAACTATGTGAAGTTTACCTTTCAGTTAAAAACTACTGCTAGGGTTCTGCATGTTGGCTGAGCAGATAAGAGAGCCAGCTGCCAAGCCTAATGACCTGAGTTACATCCTGCGATCTACATGGTGGGAGAGCAGACTCTCTGAGGTTGTCTTATGACCTACACTTAATAAACGCAATAAATACATATATGCACACACACACACACACACTGTAATACAAATTTAAAAATAAAATACTGCTAGGAAGTGATGTTTAGCAACAAAACAACCTTTGTTCTGGGATTATTTTTTCACAGATTTTGATTGGTGACATTCTGAGAGAGTAAGCAGGGAGGTCACATCATAGAATGAGGACTATGAAATGGTCTTTCTTTTCCCAGTGCCATGAACATGGCACATTCACCCATTCATTACTGTGTTTTTTTCCCATTTTTTTTTTGATGGTCCTATAGATCCAAGTAATATATGTACTTGATTTTTTTTTCCTTATCAGTTTAAAGGAAGGGTGCATGCTATATATGGTTTATTTAAAAATAATTGGGAGTGAAAGATGGTCCAACTTTCGTTTTCCAAGAGTAGGCATCAACGATATACCTTAAAAATGAGAACTACCTATGTTTGGAGGTCAATTAAAGAAGTGGCCCATAGTTCCATGTTTGAATTCCTTTTTGTGTGATGGTATTCCAGGAGATGAAACAGTAAAGAGAAAACAGAAGACATAAGAATGAATCTTGTGCTAATTTGCTTTTAAAATTTTGCTTCAGCCACTGTGTCCCCAACAACCATATACAGCATATACAGCAAGTCTGGCTTTTGCTTGTAAGAGGTGAAAGGAAACAAATTAAAAGCTAGACAAAATATAACACAGCTAGAAATTATGTTTTATATAAGGGTTCTGTTTTAAAAAGTACCCTCTCTGGCAGAGGCCTAAGCCTGCCATCAGCTAAGTCAACACTGATTTCTGTTGTCATTGTTGGATTTAAGAATTTTATAACTGTAGGAAGTGCCACCAGTCTAATAACACTCATCTTAACATCTAATTATGGACGAAGGAGGAAAAAGAATCACTGATCCTATACCATAACCTGCCCAGAAAATAGGTGTTTCTCTATCATTGTTGTAGTTTCATGCTACAGGATGATGATATGATTATAAAGCAGTAGATTCAAATACAGCCTTACAAATATGGACATATAAGAATCTTGAGTTGTATGTTTGTTTAGTTTTGTTCTGAGCATGTATTCATATGTTAACACTATTAGGACATCACCTTGTGGACTTGCATTTTTTTAAGTTAATAAAGTTTAGGGAGATGGTTCAGTGGGTAAAGTGCTTGCTGTCCAAGCACAAAGTTTGAATCACTAGTACCTTTAAGTAAATTCCTGATGAGATGACAGTCCACCTACAGTCCTAGCAGTTGGGAGAGAAAAACAGGGGATCCCTAAAGCAAGCTGCCTAGCTAGACTAGATAACCAATCTTGAGTACAGCAAGAGACCCTGCCTCAGTAAATAACCAGAAGAACCATCAAGGAGAACAATTTGTATAAACCTCTGTCCTCCACATATAGGTGAACAAACATGCACACACATGTATATATTTGTGCAAGCATATACCTGCACACAGGCAAATACATGGACACCACATATACATACAAATACCACAAACAAATGAATCTTACTAATCATTTCAATTTTGTCATTAATATAATGGCATAATTTGGTACTTGAAGACTTTTAGAACTTTGACATAAAAGGCTTTATACCCTGTTGAAATTCTTTCTCTTTAGCATTCAGTGTGGTACCAGTGCTTGAACAGGAGACCACTTCAATTTTAAATCCACTTTGAAGCACTCTCTAAGTATAATACAGTAAAGAATATAAGGCTACCCCACCTTGACATTGAATCACCTCAGAAATAAATGCAGCTATAAATCTTATCAGGACTGATCCCTTAGCACATGCTCAGAAACCAATTAACACCTGCCACCCCAGCTCTGCAGCTCACGTCCCACTTAAAGAATGGGATGAAAGCACACACAGACCATAGTTTTTACAAGCACAGTGGAGTTGTACACTCCATGCCCTTAATTCATGGAAAATGCATCACAAAGTGCATTTAACCACTGCTCTGCTCTGTCCCATCAAGATTTATGAACCATGGGGTGCCCATTTGGGGGAGGGGAGCAATCAAATGAATGTCTCAGAAGCTTTAGTCTGAACCAGTCCTGAGGTGACACGAATGGGAGACAGGAATGGACAAGGCCCTCAGGGAGTTCAGACATGATGGAGGATGCTAAGGTAAGCAACTTCAATTTCATACCATGAGGGTTTTAGTAGAGGTATATCAGTTGTCCAGCTATGTATGGAGAGCATGCTCCACCTTATATGCAAGGTGGTTCAGGCAGCACAAGCCAGGAAAGACACTTAAAACAGGGAAGACTATGCACAAATAATCTGAAGCACAAAAAAAAATGGGTGCATGTTTAGGGATTCTAAATGGTTCTGCAAAATTGCTGTATCAGAGTTAGGAACACATTGTCTTAGGGTATGACATCCAGGGTACAGTCTGACTATGTAGGGGCTAAAGGTTTTGGGTTTTTTTGCATTTTTTGCATTTCCGTGCTATTGGTTATACTAACCTGGTGAGTCCCAGGCTTTTAGCCTCATCTAGAACCTGGTAGCTATACTGTTAATAGTGGACAGGAATTATGAATAAAAAAAAAATCAGTCTGTAACTCAGCAGGTAGTACTGAATCCTTCAAGACAAAGATCCCTCAGGTTCTTAGAGACTGAAGAGTTAGCTTTTTATTTTTTATTTTTATTTATTTATTTATTTGATATAGGGTTTCTTTGAATAGCCTTGGCTGTCCTGGACTCACTTTGTAGACAAGGCTGGCCTTGAACTCACAGAGATTCACTTGCCTCTGCCTTCCAGAGTGCTGAGATTACAGGTATGCACCACCATGCCTGGCCAGAAGAGACAGCTTTTAGGCTGATGTCAGATTGCAAAATGGTGTTGTGGTTTCATGTGATAAATCCTAAAATTGATGATATCAGTATTATACCTGTATCTATGTAGTTAATC